CGAAAAAAGCTTGAAGTCAAGAAAGAAAAAAAAAAAAAAAAAAAAAAAAAAAAAAAAAGAAATTCATCTGCTGCAACAGACAAAGGAAGAATTTAGTCAAGGCTTAATTATTTTGTACACAGGACTCGCCATTAAACATAAGCGCTGTTTGTAATATACATACACAATCTAGGCCACGCCTGCACCTCGGAATTCAGCTGATACAACCCTCCACAGTTCTGCAAAGAGCTGGTACCGAATGCCTCCGCACGTTGTACGTGGCATGTCTTATACAGTGAAGAATTAGGAGGCGGTGCCGTGTCCTAAACTGTGAGTCATGCACGGCAGCAACTCTCCTGACAGAGGAAAGACATAGATGTTTCCTATGCTGATCCTGAAAGCAGGCACGTGGAAATCAGGAGATCGCTTCAGCTGTATAGTCACAATAACTGATGCAGAAAAAGCAGTGTAGTCTTAACACAACTTAAACTAACCAGGAAAGCGCCTATTTTGCTTTTGCAGGACTGAAATCATGATAGGTTTAATACCTCGGGCTGAAGTTCACCTACCCTGGTGTACACCCTCCAACAGCAGACAACACAAGAGATTCAGGGAACGCAAAAACAAGGCGCATGGCATGGTATGTCTATTGTAACTCCAGCTACCAGCGATTTGCATTTTGGTAACTTACTGGGACCAAGGACTCCTCTACTGGGCTTCTCTTCCATTAATCTGCCTATCCTCTTTCTAAACCTGTGTCAGCTTTTAGCATCTCAAACTTCCCTCCTCTACAGTCAAATCAACTGTTGTGCGGAAGTTATCCCTTTCTGGTCCCTTCAGAGTTTCATTTGATGTCCCCTTGGGGACATTGGCTCCTGCATTGAAAGGAAGAGCAAACAAATAGTCAAAAAACTACTTACACAAGCAATTTTCAGCAAATGCCATATCTCCCTTTGTCTTTTGCCCTGCATCTGCATCACTGAGTTGTCCGCTTCCTTGATGTTATTTAGAGCCACTTCAATCTTTGGAAGCAAGTCAATGATCTTCTGCTTACAGCCCAAGAGCTTGCTATAATAAAAAACAAAGTTACTTTCCAGCCTGTGTGGCAATAATGTTCTAGCAAAACCAAAAGCCTCACCTTGTGATTCAAGAAAAATTCTGTGAGAATGCCCCTTCCTCGCAGCACAGCACTGTGACACCTGCAGGTACAAAACCTGCAAGACTGGAGGGACCCCTGGACTTTTCCAAGTCCAGTTAAGACTCAAGGAGGCAGGCAGACAATACTACTATTAATACCCACAATAGAAGCTCTTCTTATTTGAAATGCAGAAATTGATCCTGATGACAACGGACAGCACAGCAACTCAACCATGGCATTTTATTAATCTTCTCTGGTCTGTGTTGGTCTCTGTGAGCTGACCATACCATAGCTAAGAGTTTTTTTATGGGATCTACTAAGCATAAGCCACACATGAAAATAAAACTAAGTCATGCTTTGCTGACTACTGAGATCTGCATAACGACATTTCTTCTGAGCTACTTGAAGATTTAACGAATTAATGAACCAATCACTGTGGTATCTTCTCAACTGGTACACTATTTTTTTTTTTTTATTCCCCCCTTAATCCCAACCCAAACACTGGCAGAATTTGTCTCATTTTAAAGTGAGCTCTTGGATGCTAACACTACAAGCCACTGCAGTCTCCTCCCCTTCCCTATTAGCTACACACATTAGCTATGTTTCAGAAAAGTAAGTGGAAATTGAACAGGGACACAAAGGAGCAGAATTAATATTGCTATGAGAAACGTATACCTGTGGACGGAGCTTTTGGGCTCCGACCTCCATGGTTTTCCCTCTCCTTTCTTGCTACAAAGCTACAAATGCTGCAAGTTGCATTTGTTTGGGTTTTTTTTTTTCCTGCATAAAGTACCTGAGATGGCCAAAGAGCTCCTTGAGAACTCGGTCTTGGCTCTGTACTGTCTGCACAATGATCTTCACCATGTCCGTGCTGTCACTGTAGGCATTATCTGGAAGGGCCATCAATCACATTAGTAAAACACTCTTCAGCAAGGAGCTACTCTGGACACAACGCTCAGAGTCAAGGAAAGATTTGACTTAGTGCAGCCAAACAAACTGAAACAGAATGAAACATCTTTAAACCTCATCACAATCTGTCATTGGGCACAGCTTTTCCTTAATGTCTCTTCTCTCCACAGTAACGTATACAATTCCAGCTACTCTTGCTGTCTAGATACCGGCTTCAGTAAAGACCGCAGGTAGTTGCCAAACGCACAACTAAATCTTTCTACTTGCCAGTTACTATGTTCAGAACATAACAATCCCCAAACATGAGGCTCCATCCAGTATAATTAAGAGAGACGAGGAGAGGGAGAAAAGAGACTGCCCTTGGGTCGGAGTGATGACAGAGGAACAGCACATCTTCCCATGTCTGGCGGGAGTAAAACAGTAGTACTGGAGGCAGGAAAAAAAGGTAGAGAATGCCAGAAGGCAAACACGTGTTCAGGGCAGATGCTCCAAGACGGAAAACCAAAAGACAAACCCATGGCTGAGGAACAGGACTACAGAATTTGGGTGAGCTCTAGGCTCAGCAAATAGAAGAAATTGCCTTAAGGTATACCCTTGAGTCTGTTTAACTAAAACAATCATTTGCCTTCTCCTAAACGCTATTTTCTGAGTCTGAGTTCAGAAAAATTAGTCATGGGGTATGAGTGTGAAACAGTCTTTGAACCATCTCCTTCCATACCTGGAGGTCTTGTTTTTAATTGCTTGTACAGGTCTATGGCTCTCTGTTCCCTTTAAAAAGAAGAAAAAAAGATTCATACACATATCAACAAGCAGGTCACTCAAGAAAAAAAGCATTGCAATTAAGTTGTGCCTTGCTGAACCTCATACATTGGAGCTGCCTCCGCCTTCTACAGCTAGATACAAATATGACGTTTGGAACACAGGGATGGTCTTTCTGTGATGGAAACCAACTCTACCCTAAAAGCTGTGTCTCTTTTCCTCTGATTATGCATTTTCTTGTCAGGAAGGTTATTTTCAGTTTCAAATTTTCACATGGCTCAGCTGTGTTTTCTTTCCGTGGTATCCTTAATTACGAAACTTCATCTTTGTAACTATAGGTACTTCCGCACAACTGCCTCAGAAATTCTTGTTTCTGTTCTGTATTTTTTTGCCTGAATTTTAGTGATACTCTGCAAATGGAAAGAGACAGCAGCATCACAAACAAGAGGACAGTATTTCTCTTCTTCCCATTAAATAAATGTTACTTCTTTCAAATATTTCAAAAGCAGCCAAACACCGAAGCTTCCAGCCTTGAACAACTCTTGACTGTTCCAAATCAAAAGTCTGTCAGAAACAAGTAGCAGTTTAGCCAGTTCTAACTCCACTTTTGGGCCCTCACCAGGCCTCCTCTTCCCCTCAGCTGCCCTTAGATCATCCCAATACTGTTTCAAAAGATCATGCAAGCTGCTTCTGCAAGTCGGCATTTCTAGCGTGCTGGATAGCTATCCATCTTGAAACTCCTGCATCAGCCAAGGATAGAGGAAGAGGTGCTCTTTCCTCCTGCTGCACTGGGAAAAACAACACATCAGCATTCAGCAGCATCAAGTAAATTTGAGACATCACCCAGGATCCACGCGTGTCTCGTGGCTGCGTATATCAAAAACCTTAAGCTAGTGCTCTGCGGTATTCTTTGCTACAGCCCCAAAAACTAAAGAGCAGGAGACTCAATCTGTTCTCCACTCATTAAAAGGAGTAGCTTTAGACTAATCAACAGCTTAGGGCACACTTTAAGCACCTTGCAAATAGCTGATGCAGCCTTGGGTTTGAAAGTAGTGGTGAAAGTGCTTAGAGACAATGTCTTAGGAGGCAGGTTCGTGATTAGTTTATGCTGCCCTAAGTGTGGGCTACTGCTGCAAGAGGTGGTTTCTCACTTCCTCTCTCGTGCACCAGTTCTGCTGCTCCTGCAACTACACATGGATGAGAAGCGACTTAGCTGATCTGGCTCTGCAAAGAGGGAGGGGAGAACATGCAGGAACAGGCATGTTTCCTCCCAGAATACTCAGACTCATTCAGAAGAGGTCTTATTAACAACAGATTTACTGGCTATTTAATCTTGGTGGCTGTTTGATCCCACTCTTTTATAATTGTCACTTGTGGCCTCACCTACAGCTCAAATGACAATAATTGCTTCCTACGTCTCCTCAAGATCAGTAATATCACTTAGCTCTTTCATATTTTAACACTTTTAAAAAAATAAACATTCAAGTTTCCAAATGTTCATGTATTTGCCAGTTGTTAATTATCCTTGCTTTGAAAACACATTGAAGATATTTAACACGATTTTACAATGATCTTGTAATTTTCTCACTCAACACTATAAAATTCACTCTTCTCCAACGCAAAAAGAAATCCTCTGCGTTTTTCAGTTGAGAACAAGATATATCTTAGGCCCATCCTCTTCTAAGGTGCAGTTTCATAGTCAGTGACCCAGGAGTGTCCTTGTCCTCCCTAGCTGTGTTTTCCATGTTTCCCCTGTGACTGGATGTTAATGTTTCTTGCACAGCTAGCTTTCGGATAGAGAGTTGTCCTGTTCTGCCTTATAATGCTGCCAAGTGATCATTAGAACTTCAAGAGGAATGAGGAACGTACAGCCACAAGTGGCAGGGTCTTCCCTTTCACCAGCAAAATGATCTTAAACTGATTGCAAACTGCTCTGTACTCGCAGTTTACAAAAAACGATGACTGCATTTCAGAAGCGCTGATGGAACCACCACCAGATATTTTAAAAAAAAAAACCCAACACCCGGATACTGAAATACACAAAATCCATTTATGTGCAACAAAAATAATACGCCAAGGACTTACAAGCTCTCCATGACCTCTCCTTGACGCCTTGCGTATGGACTCTTCTGAAGCTCTACAATTTCTGTGTGCAGAGCCATGATCTGCTCATCTAGATATCCAATATCTTCAGCCTAATGGGGAAATGTAGGTACAAATCAAACGGAAGGAGGAAAGCAAGAAAGTAGATAAAGATCCCCAGAATACCTGTTTGGATAATGGGCTGACTCCATGCCGAGTTTAGGAGAAAAAAAAAACCTCTTTGACATGACTGCTGCCTCCATAATCGAGTTTACTTTTATTATCTTCTCAGTACATGGTATCACCTAGATCCAAGTCTCTGACAACCACACTGGGTGAGAAAAATCAGCTTCTTCACAAATCCTACCTCTGAGATGCACACACACTGTCTGGCTCTACAATACATTCCAGCAGCAAAGATTTTTTTCTCTTACTCTTACAGTATGGACAGAGGGTGCTCTCACATTTTACCCTCCCATATGCATTTTGGTCTGACGTTTCTCCGGTATTTCACATCTTCCTCAAAGCAATATAAAAGATACCAATCCTATGCCAAGCCCTCACAGTAAGTTAGGCGAGACAGTCAACAACAAAATTCCTGAGCATGAGGAATAGGTTTGTGGTGCCAGACATGCACTGGAGATCCCTGCCACAGTTAAGAAAACACTGGTAGCTCTTAGCGCTATGGACTGTGGGCACTGATCTGCCTTCCTGAGACAGTATTTGGAGATATTTCAGCTTTGCCTTTCTGACCTGGGGCTGTAGGACCTTAAAACGGAAAATCTTCCAGAACATACCCATTGCTGAAGCTGCAGAAGTACTGGGTATGAGGCTATATAAATGGGATGTGACCCCTTGACCCGAAAGGGATGCCTGTGGGTCTTGCAGGTAAAGAATAAAAGCAGGAGCAGCAGCAAGAAGCCACATAATCAAAGGAGAATTAGATTGTGAGAAAAATGTGAAGTAAACCCTGTTATCAAAAGAAACGTCTTTATCTGGAGCACCGTGACTCACCACACAACGTAACTGTCCCTTGAATTCACAGAAGTTAAACTGTCCGCTAGACAGACTGAGATAACACTGTATTAAAGGGTAAAACATTTTCCACTCCTGATAAATGGACACGGTGTGACTATACCTGTGGACTGCACAGCTTGGAGACAGAACGTAATTCTGATGGTTTGCAAAGTAAATATTTGTTGAAGTTCCTGGTTTTCTGGAAACAGCCAGTGACAGCTTTGAGTTATTCTGCTAGAAGGAGCCTCCCTTTTATCTTTCTTGCTTCCTAACAGGGATCAACAAGATCCCAAAATTTAAAGAGCTAAAAAGAGGTGAATTCAGGTGGGAATCCAAATTCCCCTATCTCCATCATATGAGCAAGCAGAATCAAGGCTCCAAGAACCTTTTGACTTAGATGAAGACAGGTAATGGATCCCAGAACCTGAACTACCCAGCCATTTTCCTTTGGTGGGGGGGGGGAATGCAAAGTAATTTCTTGTTTCTGTTTCTAATGGTATCTGGGATTTTTATGTATTAATCACCATGCTCTGTAGGACTATGAGAACCAATACAAAAAAATCCCTGCAGGGGAGAGCAGAAATGCAAGACATCAGCCCAGCAAACCACATAACAGTCCTGGTCAGCAGAACATGGGATGTTCTTGGCACTCCTGCAACTGGCTACTATCATGGAACACAAAAAAAGAGAGTACTTTTTGAGATATTTTAAAGACCTCTACTCTGACAAATACATTACAATTGTGCTGATTTTTCCTTGCATTCCTTCTGAATGCCTCCCCTCTCCCAAACTTTATTTAGTACATCCAGTAGAAAAAGAAGAAAGTTTTTGACAATAAACTACAATCATCCTAGCACTGTCCCTAGTTTTCACAGCTAAAAGCTTATTCCTTCCCTGTAAAGGTCTAGACAGACCTGTGCACAGAATTATTCTCTGTCAAAAAGGCCTCTGTTTCCTCATCGTTTTCAGTGGAGGTAAAATTAAAACGCGTATTCACAGAAGACAGAGATCAGAATTTTAAGTAGTCAATAAATTTCAACTAGCCTTTCTCACAGAACTAACTCTCCAAGAAGCAGAAAGCCATTGTATCAGCTCAACTATCCATAAACCACAAGTGAAAACATCTGTTAACTATTAGGACTACTCAGAGTAAGAACTGGCTCTAGTTCCGCTCTAAATTTCTTAAGGATGACTCTTATTAAAAACAAATTTCTGGTATTCTGCAGGTAAATATGCAAATTAATGCCTGTACTCCTAAATGAAGTACTGCAATTTTGAAATCACTGCATAGTAAGTGATTGGTATTATTTTCAGCTTTAGCAATGGAAATTTTCGTGTGCAATAAATCCAACCAGGAAGACCCTCGTCTGTAGCAACACCATTTATTTTGGACAGTAAATAACGTTGTCTCTATAGTCTACTTTCCTATATAGACAACTGAGTCCAGTGACATATGTGTTGGTTTTGCTCAAATCACTAGATTCAAACAACCTGGTAATTGGGGACTGCTTCTTTTTTCATGCACCTGCAATGATATTCTCATTCCCATAGCAGGCAGGATATGAAACACACTGAGGGGACAGAACAGTAGCACATACGACAGTAAGTTCCTGTCACGATCTCCTTCACAGAGATGCTGTAATACCCCCTACCTGTGCACACTGAGAGGCCTTCTCTTCCATCTCCTTCCAGGCTTTGAGCATCTTTTCTGAAGCTTAAGAGAAAAGAGTAGGTATAGACACAAAAATAAAGCATGACCTGAACTTTACATACATCAGTTGAATTTGAACACAAAGAGCATGACGCTGGATCTCCAAGCAGAAGTCGTGGCCCAGAGATCACAGAGAGACAGCAAAGTTGCAACTTAACAACTCCACGCTCAATCTTAACTCACATACAAACCCTTTGGTAGGATTTCACTGTTTGCTGTCACCGGCCTAAAATGAGTTTGAGTTTTGAACTCCACCATTAAGCTCAACAACTGCCACTTTTGATTAAACAGACTGTCCAAAAGGAGCTCACCAAGTCGAGTCTATCCATTTTCCATCGTCATCCTTCAGCCCAGTCATAATTTTTGACTCAAGTTTCAGTTTTTAGTATATATCCAAACTATGCATTAGTCTTACTAATCTCCTAATCTCCCCTGAATAGCGTTTGTAAGATCCAGACGTTTCTGTGACATTAAAATGTAGCTGGTGCTTTTTCACTTCATCTCCCACCCTGACTCATGCTACCTCCTGATATCAAGCATGGCAAGATGACTCCTTTCATCCTGTTCCAAGCAGTGCTTCTACAGTCACCGTGCCCGTTTGTTCTGCCATGGATGGTTAGTGGCCCTTCCACTGTACAAGTGCAGCAGCTCTGCCCTCTGCTCTACGCTCAGTGACAACTCCAAATGAATCAGACTCTGAATGAATAAATAGCAAACATTTACATCACCAGTACTATTAATACTCTGATTTTCTTAGCTTAGTGTTCTCAGTGGGGAACAGCTGACCACCTGTTTCACTGTCACTGAAGGTCTTCAAAAACATTTTATTTTTTATCCTCCTGCCTTTGCTTCTAACTCTTCTCCTGCACCTGTCCCAGCTAAAACATACCCATAAAGATGCTGAAGAACACAATGGCAGCTCCTGCATTCATTTTCTTTTAAGCTAGCTCTTACTCACAGTCCTTCATAGTCAATCTGATCCTTTATAGGATCAGACAAGACACCCAGGCAAGTATTACACAATACATACATATGCCATAAGCCATCTGGTCACTGTATCTCTCGAGGTCGAGGCGAATGCTTTGATGAAAGAATTCCAGTTTTGCTTTCAGTTGCTGAGATGCTGACACCATATTGTTTTTCATTTTGATTAGGTTGGCATTATACCGAAGAAGACTGAGCCTAACAAACGAAACAAGAACAGCACATGTTAGTTGAAAAGTGTATCTGGACTTATGTGGCCAGTGCCGTCACGTTACCTGAAGGAAAGACATAGCTAGCAAAAAATTTTTGCAAGATCCTTGGAACAGGGAGTCTCAGTGGGGTCAGACTCCATCCCACACATCTTCAGAAGCTGCAGGTCCTCAGCAAGCAAAAGAGAAAGTCCTTCCTCCTTTCCCAGCTTTTTTGTCAAGCTCAGTTAAACAGTCCTTGCAGCGTAGAGTATTTCTTAGGATTTCCAGCATCCTGTAGTGCACGTAGCCCCTCGTGAATGCTGGCACCTTTGTTATCACTTGAGATATGTAACACTGCCCATTCTGTGATTCGGTCACAGGACAAAACCCTACAAATATAACAACCAATTGCACTCATTCTGCCACTTGTGGAACAGCTATCCTGGGCTGCATTAGGAGGAATGTTGCCAGCAGGTCAAGGGAGGTAATCCTCCCCCTTTATTCAGTGTGGGCGGGGGCACACCTGACTCAGTTCTGGGCTCCCCAGTACACCGTAGCCATGGACATACTGGAGAGAGGCCACTGAAGGGCTACGAAGATTATTGAGGGACTGGAGCATCTCTCCTGTGAGGAAAGGCTGAGAGAGCTGGGACTGTTCAGCCTGGAGAAGAGAAGGCTGAGTGGGGATCAAAACACACAAACACCCAAAGGGAGGGTGCAGAGAGGACAGAGCCAGGCTTTTCTCACTGGTGCCCAGTGACAGGACCAGAGGCTGCGGGCACAAACTGGAACACAGGAGGGTCCCTCTGAACATCAGGAAACACTTTTTTACTGTGAGGGTGACTGAGCAGGGGCGCAGGTCACCCAGAGAGGTCCTGGAGTCTCCATCCTTGGAGATATTTAAAAGCCATCTGGACATGGTCCTGGGCAACCAACTCTAGGTGACCCTGCTTGAGCAGGGGGATAAGACTGGATGACCTCCAGAGGTCCCTGCCACCCTCAGCCAGTCTGCAGGTCGGTGACTATATTCAAGGTTCAAGTTTTTTCAGCTATTATCAATGTCAGGCACTATGCAGTAAAATTCCTGGAGTGGAATAAGCTCCTGGCACAAATATCTTTTATAATGTATAATACAGCAGAGGGCTGTAACATTTGAGTAGCCAAACAAAACTCCCCAAGACGTACATTTCCATGCGTCTCTGTATTTGCCTAATACTGAATTTTCTGAATGAGAAGTAACAACTTACATGGCAGCTCTCTGGCCCTGGAAAAGCCTGCTATAATCTTCTTTTAGCCCAATCACGTAGTGAACTGCTTCTGCCCAAACCTTGCGCAGCTGAGGAATTGGCAGTTGGATTTTGCTATCCTGTACTGAATGCAAGAAAAACGCAATTGTACACAAACGAAAGGGCAACTCTAGAAAAGAACTTCACTGCTTACAACGTTCCTAATTCCCACTTCAGGTGCCTAAGCTAAGGGATCAAGCCACGTAAGATCTGCTCAATTTTTATGCGATGCTGTCTAAGCTGGTATAAGCTTTCCATGTTACAGCTCCCCAGGTATTTGGCAGTCTGCTACCAGTCAGGCAACACCTCATGTTTGATCTCACAGCTACAAGAGCACTGATTTCTTTGAGCGCTTTGGCCTACTGGCCCTAGCAGACGTGGGGCATGCTGCGTGAAACATTGCGCAAGGCAGGACCCATGGGTGGTTTTATTCAAAAACTATCTAAAGCACTTGCTCAAGCTAGCAAAGCAAATTTAATTGCTCCGTTTAAGCAAATGATATTGGTCACTGTCCTGATGTGTGTTTCATCTAAAATTGTTTTCAAATCTTTTGTACACTTCCTCCCAGATTCCTGATGTAGATGTTTACAGGGGAACACACATAAGCTCTGTGTCTTTTCCCGTTAAAGACTGTCAGTACGCTGGGATATCAATAAAATTGTTGTAAAAAGCCTTAGCTCCAAGAGATTCAGCACAATGATGCCACACAATGAGCTTTGCCAGAAAAAACAGCCCAGAACACTGGGGAAAAAAAAAAATCAGAATAAACCTGAGTGACAGTAAAAGGAGACAGAGAAAACCAGCACAACTTCTGCAGAGCCACACCAAGCCAAATAAAGCTATTTAACAGTAACTATATGTCACAGGGCGTTTCGTTTATGTGCAGTATCCCAGTAGACGTCTCCTGTCCTTTGACACTATTTTTTCTTTCACAGAGGTATACAAGCTCGTCACACAGGTATATCTGGTATACATATACACCTTCATAGAGGTATATTAGGTCCTGCAGATGACTGCTGTCATTTCAGGAGACACATAAGCAAAGCTGTAAGCAGAGAAGCAGCTTTCACGCATGGTCTACAAGTATACTGACGATGCCGGGGCCAGGTGGCAGCAGCAGAACTAAGGACCAGCTGGAACAGATCCCACCAGTATCTGTGCAACAATAGCCAGGCTCTGCTCCTACAAACTCAGGAGGAAGGAGCGGCCTGGACTTTCTCAGACACATGGTGAGACCAGAAGTAGGATCAGTGCTATGGAGTTATGAACACATTATCACTAGAGCTGAAAACTGTCAGGAAGACGGGACAAGAGCGCAGGTTTTGAACCTCTGCCAAGTGTCTCTGAAGACCAGCCCTAACTCATAACCTCCACAGGGGAACGACAGCAGTTCTGCAACTGGTGGAACATGGCCAAACATGGCTTGGCTCTGTGATCAGAGCAAGGTGGATTTCCTCATACAGGGCTCAACTGATCAGAAGCATAGAACGAGGGACCTGTTCCTTCACTTAGGTGAGATACAAGAGATGGATGGACCACAGCTGAAATGCAGCTATCACAGTTGGGGCAGTACAGGGCAAAAAGGTAATCCAATGCAAAAAGTATGCTGATATAGGGTTCAGAAGCATAAATCTAGGAGAGCTCTAGAAGGGCAACTGCTCATGAAGATCCAAAAGCACCCAATCTCAGGAGACAGGACTACAAGGAGCTGAAGCCTGATTGTACCTGTGCACAGGGAGGAGGAGAGGAGAAGGAGGAGGGATACATGCACAACTTCTACAGATGCTAAACCCTAAGGTAACAGGGTCCCTGGTACCACCAAAAGATGTCTATGATGGCTATCGCTCAAGTTCTACAAACATCTCCCAGCATGATAGGCGTGAAGGGACAAGACCCTTTGGCAGAGCAGAAGACTGTGCAAACGAAATCACAGCCCCCAAATCAGAATCTTCTTTCCAGGATGTAGTGTGCAGACACAAGCAAAAGTTTCCCTCTCTAGTCTACAAGATTCGGTTGCATGTATTCCCTTCCAAGCCTTCATTCACATTGTGGTTCTGTTCAAGGGGGGCAATGCTTAGCGTTAGGTGTGGTAGGTGCTGTTCAGTGCACAGAGTTTAATACAAGGGCAAAAACCTTAAATGAATTCTCAAGTTGCTCTACAGGAGAGTTCCCAAAGGGTGGGCAATGAATTCTCTGAACTGTTAGATCTACAAAATGTGGAGATACAGCACTGTAGATGTAACTTTGTTAGGCTGATCCAGGTTTTTAAGTGGTCCTCTTTGAATTAGAGTGCCCTTCAAGATAACACACAGAGATTTGTAAGGCAAATCTACTTTCACATTACATGAGAAGCAGCGCTTTCAGTTCCCAGCTGCCCTCCAGCATACTTACCAATGTAATTTACACAGTCAGACAGACTCCGAGAAGCAAAGGGTCCATCATAGACAGTTTTGCTTTTATCAAACAGATAGACCATGTAGCTATCCCAGCCTCTCTGGTGAGAAAAGAGAACATAATCAAGAGAAATCCCAAACATAACTCCTACTAACCCAGAGAGTCCTGGTTACATCATAAAGGAAATAATGCTAGACCTTACCAGTTGCTACACTTACAAAGCAAACTGTCTCCAGTGGGAAAAGATTAAGGCAATTTAGCTTCCCTAAGATTTTAAATTCCCTGAGAATGTGAAAGGCATTAAACAAACAAAACTGTTCTTACTACGCCATCAATAACACACTGGGAAGCGGGTTTCCGAGGGTCCAGACAAATCCCTGTCTCCAACAGCAGTTCCTGATTTCCAGTACTTATTCCAGTTTCAAACTCAATGCGATTCTGAAGGGAATGAAGGCTTTCCTCAGGATGCAAAAGAAATGAAACAATCTTGGCAGAGGTCATATTTAGGATGTGTACTATCTGTAAAAAGAGTGCAAGTTGATTACAAGTCACTGGCTATCAAAGACAAAGGGCATCAAAGCCTGGGAGGAAGTATGTAGCAATTAACATGTTAGACTGAGAGCATAATTCGAGTTTTAATGACTGCAATAATCAAGTTCAGCAGCAAAGCCCCACATAATAAAACTCAAAGCCCGGGCCTGTAACTTTCAACTTAATGCCAGAGAAAATGACAATCAAACCAACTAACAGCTTGCACAAACTACGCTGCAGTTTAATTACTTCAAAAGAACGGTGACAGGCCAGCGTGAAAGCCATCTTGAGCCTTGTCTCTGATGCCGGCCAGTACTGCTCCCAAGAAAGGGAGTCCCAGCTCCTTTAATCCCTGCATACGAAAAAAGCTGTGACATGCCAGTGCTTGTCTTCTCACCGCTCTCATGGTCCTCTCTATAGCTTTACTATATCCAGGCAGAGACTGTAGGACCCAAACCACACCACGATATATAGATTTTGACAAGTCCCAATTATGGGCACAGCATTTTGTGTTTCAGGCTTTAATTCCTCTGGAATACTTCCAGATCAGACAAAATTATCCTCTGGCTTCTACACATGCTTGCCTCAGCTAGTCTTACTCCACCACTGCTCCAACAATTACTTGAAGGAGAAGAGTCAGGTGAATGTAATCTCTGTTCTACTACAGGCACTAGTATAGTACATGGACCTGGAGGTCACAGCATCAGTAGTGGAGTTCAGGAAAACCGTTACTAGCAAAGAGTAAACTGTTATTTGATCTTGGCAAGTCCTTTCTGAGACGACAGACAGTAATACAGGTTCATTCTTCTACTCCAAGTTTAAAGCTAGAGATTAATATTGCTGATGATATTTTGCCTTCAGATATGTCCTGTATGGGCTGTATATCCACTTCCTGATACCACCAAAAACATTCCTCAGGATCCCGCACAGCTGGACAACGCCAGAATTATAGCTTTGCTCCACTGAACACACTTTCTGTCCTCCGAGGTGCTTTCAAGTAGGCCTTCAAAACCAGTAGCAACCCTCACTCACCTTCAAATTCAGTATGTGATCCATTATTAGGAAACACTTTGGACAACTGGTCTCAGGATCTAACCCTCCACCTCTCTGTTGTGGATCCCAGTTCAGCATCAGTTGCAACCAATTTTCCATTGGTTCTACAATCAAACTAAAAGAGAAGAAGGGCTGTAAGAGAAGGCAGATACTCTACAACACTCAGTGCGCTTAGGAAGCTAGGGTCTCACAACAGCAATAAAGTGACAGCTCTTTGGTTAGAGACCATATGCGTGCAACATCCACTAAATTTCGCTGCAGTCGCTCATCCCAACAGCGGGGAAAGCCTGCAAGGGGAGAAAAGCACACACAGTGAGAATTCCCACTGTAACCATCTTCACTGACCTCAGCAGAAGCACTCGCCCATCCAAGGTACCTCACGCTACGCTTCTTCTGACTCCTATTCATTGAGTCAAAAGTATCTTGACACGTCAGTGAGGGGTCAAAACGGATAAAGGGGAGAATTGGGGTTTTTAGGGTTTTTTGTGCCAAAACCCATCTGTGATGCACATAAAATCAAATAGTTTTCAAAGCCATGTCTGCAGAATAATCATCCCCGTGCTGCAGAGCTGCCCAGAAGGTTCTCCTCCATGTTTATCCACATAAGAAGCACGTAAGTTTGTAAAAAAAAAAAAAAAAAAAAAATCTTTACAGACAGTACATAGTGCAAAAAGCCCAAAGCACTGGCACAAAGCCATTTTATTTCATTCTCAACTCAGCACTTTTCCTAGAAATCTGCCAGTGCCAATGAGCTGCGCTGCAGCGCTGGGCACATCTAAAGACACGAGTGCTAAGTAAGTGCCAAATGATCAGAGTCTGACTCCTAGCTTGGTACAGACCAATTCATTCAGGTTGAAGGTCCTTCTGGAGGTCTTCAGTCTGAGCCCTAGCCCGGAGCAGGGCCAGTGTCACAGCTACAGCAGGCTGCTCAGGACTGTGTCCAAACAAATCTGGGGAGTCCCCACAAATGGAGATCCCCCACTGCTTGGGGCCCTGTCCCAGGGACACGTCACTAGCACGGGGAACCTTTTTCCTGCGCCCAAACTTCATTTGCCTTGTTCTAACTTGTGCTGTTGCCCTTTGTCCTTTTGCTTTGCCCCTCTGAGAAGGGCCTAGATCCATTGTCTCTGTAACGCCCTAAAAGATAGCAGACGACAAAACTAGATCTCCCTTTACCTTCTCTTTGCCAGACTGAAGAAGCCCTGCTTCATGGGCCTCTCCTTGTATGCTCTATTCAACAGGCTCTGACCATCTTTGTGGCCTCTGCTGGACTTGCTGCAGTTTTCCCAACACAAGTACTAGAAGCTTCTGCTTTTGTGGAGCAGCTAACCCGAGTAACATGGTTTATGAGATTCAACACCATCAAGTTATCGGGTAGATGTTACTCAGTGGCTCTATAATAATGGGTGGAAAGCAGTCACAAGAATTCACACTGCAAGGTGAGTTGCCATCATCCCACAAACTTCAGGGTGAACTGCCATTGGAGAGCCCAAAGCATCAAAAAAGAGTCATGTGGTTACAGGCTATTCTTTAACAGCAAATGGTAGCTTGCCAGGAGCTTGAAACATTCCTTAGCAGAAAGAAGAAGGACCTCTCAGTGCATGGAATAAAGGAGGAGGAGCCCTCAGTTTAAAAGACAAGCCAAAAATTATCACATGTAGCCACAAGGACACACTTACCCACAGAGGCTGTGAGGCTGCGGCAAATGGGTACTAAAGCGAACCTCCCCATTCATCTCTTCAGAAGCAAAGATGTGCTTTGGATCCTTCTTCTTGATTTTTTCATGCCTAGAAAATAAAATCCTTTGTGGATGTACTGACAGCGTTACTTTTGTAAAGGGTCAACTGACTATGGCAGCAGCAAAAAGCACCGCAGTCTGGTAGCTTTAGAAACAAACTCTTCTTTCAGGACAAAGACGACATTTCCAAACAATCCACCCATAACATCTCCAAGTGGAAGAAGGGAGTCCCTGTGATCATCTCTGGAAACATTTTTGTGCCTGCTTGCAAGGAGGTCTGGACAGCATCAAAGGAGGATCAACAGGTAACAATTCATTGACCGCAGAGCAAGCCTGCACAACAAAATCAACCTCCACACATTAACCAGACAAATAAAATTTGCAAGAGTCATCTGGCAAAACCACTGCCCTTACTTTGGTCCAAGCGAAGCATCCAGTAAGCGTTAGAAACACAGCACGCTACTGGATCCGGTGCCAGAGAAAAGCATCGCCAGCAACTCTGCCTCAGTTTCCCCACCTTGGCTCATTTCAGCGCTGGTGCAACCCTTGCCTAGAGCCAGCTGCTCCGAGAGCAGCAGGATTTCCCAGGGCAAGTCGACAGGCAGCTGGACGCTTCTTGCTCCTGGAGGCTGCCAGCCTGCTCTTTCCCAGCCAGGCCCAACTGGAATGAAGCTACGTGTCTGTGGCCTGCACTGTTCTCTTCCCTCTTTTATGGATAGGGAAGAGTTGTTTCTCATCCCACTCATTCATTGGTTTTCTACTACTTACATTAGGAAATCAAGTGTTCCATGTTGGAAAAAAAAAATGCAACAAATATTGAACTATTAAAATAATAAAATTCCAAGAATTAGCAGTTAAAAGGGAAACTATTGCAGCATATTGGTTAAAATTATTTTTTGTTAACACATAATTTTTTAAGGTAACATTTGCATAACTCTAATTTACCTTTTCTCCTATTATTTCAAAGCTAACAGAAAAGTTTTGTATTTTTTCTGTTGCAGAACCACCCTTTTAAAAACCAAGCTTATATACTTGCTTATTGCAAGGTAAGAAGTGGAAATATAAAAATACATATTTCTGCCCCTTCCTCTAGCCCTCAAAGAGCAAGCAGATACCTCCATATCCAGGTTAAAATCCTTCAGTGACCACCTCTGTAAAGTTACTTACAAACACATAACCGCATTTACTACACAAAACATGCTCTGACTTACTGTGTGTTATTTACTGCTAGAAATAAGCAACCTCACAGCCTAGGTGAACAAAAGATTATACCACTCCTTCCCCTTCCATTTTTCTGACACTGATACCCAGACTGGTTTATAATTACATTTTTTGATTCAAATTTCACCTGTGAAGGAATTATGATGACCAGAGGCTACCATACAAAGCACGCACTACAGTACGTATAAATAGACGAATTGTCATCAAACTATCAGCGGCCCCTGCACAGCTTAGCAGACCACCAGCCTCAGCACCTAACTAACAATAAATTTATCATTCTGGTTCACGCTGTCACCTCACCACACACAACAGCTGTCGTTCCTACTGCCCGGCATCACCACTTGCAGAATAAATGTCTTACCAGGTGAACGGCTGTAGGTTATGTAAGAAAGGTCTAAATCCTGCAATGCATTCAAACACCATCGTTCCAAAGCTCCAGTAATCAACAGTAACTGAGTAGGATTTATTCTCAAAGAGTTCTGGAGCCTAAAAAGGATCATAAAAATACACTTTGAAAGTGGTATTTCAGGTCATTTATTTTCTACACGGGAACCCTGATGCGGCTTCACTTAGGCTGTCCGGTGGGTCAGGGCCTGAAGCACCCACCCCACGAGGAGATGGGAGGGAGCTGGGCTTGTTGGGTTTGGCCACGGGGAGGCTGGACGGGGGGTAGGCTGAGAGCAGCCCCTGACTGTGGCACAGGAAGGAATGGAGGGAATGGATGAGGCCAAATGCATCTTGGAAGGTGATACAATGAGGGGCAACGGCCCCCAGTCGCCATCTGGGAGGTTCAGGTCGGACATGAGGAAACACTTCTTCCCTGGAGAGGGAACACCCTTGGGACAGGTCCCCAGGAAGGTGCAGAGCCTCCATTTTTGGAGGTTTCACGGCTTGGCTGGGCCAAACCACGGCTGCCCTGACCTAGTGCTGGGGACAGTCCTGCTGCAAGCAGGAGGTTGGATAAGGGACCTCTGTAGGTTCCTCCTGACACACACTTCTGTCATTCTGTAAAATGTGGCAAAACCACATCACTCGTATACGTTAAAAAAAAAATCTTACCAAATATTGTAAAGTTCCAACAAACGAAGTACATAAACTTCCTTGATCCAGATCCTTTGCATATCCCAGGTCTATTATTTTGTGAACAATCTGTAGACAGTTTAAATAGTTCATCAGAAGAACAAATTCAGGGAAAAAAAAACCAAACAGAAAAACCACCAAACAACCCAACACCTGTGCATTGACATCCACAGCATACGCTAAAGAGGAAAGTCAGAATGGAAATTCTGGAGAAAGTCCATGGCAAAGCTTCAACATGCGTCGTTAAGGCTTGCTGTTTCACCACATAAGCTGGTGCTGTCCACCTATCTCAACTTAGACTCAACTTTATTTCAAGCAGCTTGGTCGAACAGAGTATCTAGCTTTTTATCTGGGAACTGAAAGTTATTTGTTTAAAGAGTAACAACAGAGAAAAGAATTTTCACTATGAAATCGATTAGGCTGACTCTCTGAACCAGCTTGATATTACACAGAGTCTTCAAAGCCCCCCCCCCCTCCAGGGATATGCAACCATCTGGTACCATTGATAATCTGTTGCAGAATTCTTGGCAGGGTTCTTGAATGGAAGCAAAGTTGTTTGTTTTTAATGACAAGGATTTAAGAACAAGCAAAATAGGATTTGTGGCTTCAAGAAGATGTAAATGCTTAGTAAATTCACAGTGCAGGTTTCAGCCCAGCTCAATGCCACAAAACTACTTGGTCTCTTTTATTTCTCTCAGGAAAGACAAAGGTGCTGACAACTTCCAGAAATGACAGTGGGAACACCGCTGACAGAGGCCACCTGACTTACCTTCCCACCTTCATCCTGAAGAACAATATTTTCAGGCTTTAAATCTCTGTGTATAATTCTGTTTTCGTGCAAATACTGGATACCAGACCCTGAAAGGCACGCATTTGATTTAATAGAAAATAAACTCACATTGATTAAAGATAACATCTGACAAAAATCTAATGTCCCTGACTTTGGGGTTGGCATCAATAAATTTCCATTTTAAAGTACTGTTAAGAACTACTGACTTAAAAGATTCATCAGATTTACGCTAGGACTGAACTAGCTCTGTTGCTCTACAGAAACGGAGGTTGCTACAGAGTTCAGACCTCGTGGCATAACCACAGGTCACATCTCCTGCCTGTAAGGCAAGAGAGAAGGCAGTTGAATTCTTCTCAAACTATAGAGTTACAAAGTGAACCACAACACACAGACAAGCAAAACAAGTCTCCAAAATGCGCAGGCAGCTTGAAACAGCTCTGCACGTCCTCTAGCCTAAGATCTTGGTAAATTAACACAAGACAACAAAAAGACCTATTTATATGCGAGCACGCTATGCAAGATGCTGATGAAAGAAAGCACCAAAATGAATTAAGCAAATGAAACAAGTCGAGTTTCCCTTCGACCTAAAACTACTGCCAAATAGTGGCTTATCAAGCTTCTAGTGAACTTCCACTAGAGCCAAAGCACCACAACGCAAACCAATGCACCAGGAAAGGGACCATCCAGCTGCAACTGAAGCAGAAGCATGGCTGGAGCCAAAAACTGATTCCCGGGCAGCCTCTGGTTAATGCTGCATGGAACAGCTAACTGAGGTGCCGCCAGCAATGCCCCGGTCAGCATTAGCAACACTGAACTTAGGGGCTCAAGGCTTCCCCTCCACTGGTGGCAGACTGCTGTGCTCAAAGTAGCACCACTTCTGTCACTCCCACCGCTAAAAATGAAATTCCATGATTGCTTTAAGCTAATCTACATGGGGACTGTCCCCAGAAGGAAAACAGGCTCCTGAACTCTACTTTCCCAGATGCAATTTCCATAGTGTCACAACTATTTATGGCATGATGTGATCAGCTTGACCCTGGGATGGATCCAGTTGGAAACTACTAAGAAAAAAAAATAATCAGGTTTTAGCCAGACTGATTTCCAGGACCTGCTCCTCACCTTGGTACAGGAGTGGCTGCAATAGGGGAGGGAATGGGAACACGTGCCTACAAAAACCATAGAATCCCAGACTGGTTTGGGTGGGAAGGGACCTCACAGCCCATCCAGTCCCACCCCCTG